GTGCCGTTAATTTAACCGTACATGTTGAGTGTTGACCTAGGTAAATCAATATATTTATATATATATATATATATATATATATATATATATATATATGGGAGAGTTCCTGTGAGAATGATGCTCCAGGAGAGAAATAAGAATAAAAACTGATCATCCATTCTTTTGATCGTGCGGCTGAGACAAAAACCATCCGAACTGAAAGTTGCACATGACATGCACACGGCAGTATATAAATTGGAAACGTATGCATTATATTAATGACAAGAGGGCATTTAGGTAAAAGATCTAAAGCTAGTGGAACGTATGATTCCAAATATGGGAAGTTATCCTACAAATTAGGATATTAATTAATACAAAGCAACCTCCTCATAATTAGAATAATATATTCGATTCTTCTTATTTAACTTTTTTTGTCCAAATTTGTCGTATCCTCACATTTGTTCAATTAACTAATTAAAAAACTTTATTACATTTTCTCATGTTTTTTTGTGTTTAATCATTTTTTGGATGCAATTTCGTAATGTATCTATCCGCACTCCAACTTTAAGTTACTGCACTTTTATTCGATGTCTTTTGCACAAATAATTCAATATTTCGTTTTAGACGAAAAATGCATCATAATTCAATTTTTTAGACATCTTTTTAGAGGCAATATTTCATCCGCTTAGCTTTGTTTATTTGCGCTTAAACATTGAATAGTTGCACCTTTATTTGAAACATTATGCAACATCAATTTAATAAAATGATTATACTGTATATTTTTGTAACCCAAGGAGAATTATATGTTTATTAAATCAATTTGCACTTTTGTAAACCACACTTTAAATTTTACACATTTAGTTGTGCACATCCATACATGATTCAAATTAAAATGAATAGAAATGTACAAGGGCATAATTATCAACCATAACGTGCATTTATAATAATACAAACGTGCAATATTATTTCATACTTTCTAAAATTCTAGAGTAGCACTCTTATACAAAATAAAATGCACTCTTATCATGTGCATTTAAATATATATAAAAGTGCATTAGTATTTCACACTTATAAAATTTGGCATTGACATTTTTTATTAAATTGAAATGAAAACATCATAATTTGCTAAATAAAACAAAAAAACTAGTGAAAAGTGCATGAACGAAACATAATAAGTGCACCAGTCAAAAGTTTAATAAAAATTTTAAGAAGACCTCAATTAATAGAAGTATTTAAATCAATTTCATTTAGTCTGAATCGAATATGCAAAAGAGTATTTTTAGAAAGAAAATGAAAAGGAGTTATTCACATAAATATATACTTTCATGATGTGTTGTGTAAAAAAGTGCATTATCTAAGACAATTTTGTGCAATATCACACAAAGCTAAGTGCAATAAAAACAATTAGTCCCTCTTGCTACTGTCATCCAATGTGCAGTTAATTAAACACCTAGAGAAAAAACGTCTGGAATAAGAAAAGAGTAACACGGAGAAAGACGAGCATCTAACTAATGTCATCTAAAGGAATAATTTATAGATAAACAAAAGAGAACAAAATCATGATAAATGAACGCAAGACAGATACTAAACAATTTGATTGTGATTCACCGAGCAAATAAATATAATAAATTGATTAGAATGTCTATTGAGAAAATAAAGAAACTAGAAAGACAATATGATGAGTAAACGTAGGGATGAATAACTTAGAGAGGTTATGGAGATAACACGTGTTCTAAGAAAGAGAAATATTGAATGATGGTTATGGAGAGAATCGTGCAATTTGGTAAGATTTGAAAATATCAATTTTACCCTTAATGAGAAAGAGCCGAAATAACTAAAAGCATCAAGATCGGATGGTTGTCATTTGTTCTCATTTCTCTCCTAAGATGGTTTTCTCATTTGAACCAAAACATATATATATATATATATATATATATATATATATATATATATATATATATATATATATATATATAAGAGGAACTTTTTAAGAGCATACAAAGCGCCACCTAATCATGTCATCCATCATTTAATTTTTTTGATATTCCATATCTTTTATTTATTTTATTAGATTCTATTTTTGATTGCTTATTAATATGGAAACAAAAGACTTTATGATAAAAATCCACCTTATTTGGAAACTTTTTCAAAACCTATTTAATAATTATGAAATTCATTAATTGGAATCACACTTATTAAATAATCAATCATACGAAGTACTTTTTATAAAGTACTTTTATAAGCACGTATAATTTTTTTGATTATTATTATACTTCTTATTTTTTTATTACATTTTATTGAAGAAATAAAGTATCTTTGTTTTGCCCACTTAACAGATAAATCAGTTTCTTAAAAAATAGATAAATCAGCCAAATTGCTATTTATTTTGTCTTCAAAATTATTTATATATAAAAAAGTATTAATAGTGTCCTATTTCCTAAAATGTTACTCCGTATATTTTATTCTTCTAAACTCAATGTTGAGATCATGATTAAAATTTTAAGCTATAGATTTGAAACTGTGTTAATACTTCGTATTTTTCTACATCTTCGTATAATGCTTTCTTAATTATTAACACAATGATGAAAATTTTAACCACCGAAATTTTGAAATTAAAAGCGAAATTAGTACTATTAGACATTCATATATAGAATCATATAAAGAGAATACTTCTAATTAAGTAGCTTATCTTTATTAATTACGTAGTATTTAATAAGGATGAAAGTTGATATCATACATGCATATGTGTGTTCACAAGTTAATACGTTTAGTCTAGCCAAAAGTAAATATGTTGGATTGTTTCATTTCTTTATTTTTACTACGGAGTACCAAATTGAGTTAAATGTAAGAACCTAACTCACTATTAAAATTTAAAAATATGTATTTCATACCAAGTTGAATGAGAAATATTAGAAAAATATTATTTTGAAAAGCTCATTAAAGTAATATAGACGTTCATAACAATTAAAAATCATTTTCAATGTGACAAAATAATGAGTAAAATGTAAAAACACTCCATTTCTTACATTTTCAATGTGATGACATAATGAGTCAAATGTAATATCTTACTATTAAAAGTTAAAAGTAAATACTCCACAATTCATACCAAGTACAATGAGGAATATGAAAAACATTGAGGTGCATAATAAAATAATTTAGAAGACATGAGATTAATTAAGAAGCTTCTCTGTGAATTCTTTAAAATTGGGTTCACCACAATTGTGTTTAGTTGAGATGCTTATGTAAAAGAACATTTTGAATATTTTCCATATAATTGTCTCTTTATTTTACAAGTGAAATATTTTTTAATTTTTTTTTCATGATTTGAGAGATTCTGCCTATTCAGCCCATTCAAGTGATTCAACCCGAATTTAATCAATTTCGGTAAAATAAGCTGATTTCGCTAATTTTACTAGGAGTATTACCAAACGAACTCTATATTTAGATTGAGTTTATTTTTCTTTTGCATCCCATTATATATGATTTCGAAAATATCAAATTTAAAATTAGCTAAATTATATACTACCCGTCGTGCATCGCACGGGCTTGAAACCTAGGAAGCTTATATAACAAAATAAAAAATGAGCCGCATGTTTTCTTCCATTTCTTCCAGCGTCCCAGAAGCCAAAAGGTTTATACCCTTTGTTGTTGCTTTTCTTTTTGGACGAACGTTTTAGGGTTTCAGGACTTTCCAGCCCCTTCTAACATGAAAAGTCCATATACTACCTTCGTTCTCTTTTAAATGCACTTTTTACACTATTCGTATGTTCTACTTTGACTATATTTTATTTATTTATATATTATAAATTAAATTTAAAACATATTGTTAATTAAATTCCTCTCATTTTAAATTTTCTAAATCTAATTTTTTTAATTTTTTTACTAATAAGGAATGAAAGATATTAATGGTCAAATTTGTGCGTTGACAAACGTGAAAAGTGGACTGTTGCAATTAAAAAAGAACGGAGGAAGTATAACATATGTTTTTCGACTTATCAGTCTATTTTTCATCAAAATGTAATTTTTTATTTTGCACGCCGAATTGTATGATAGTCAAAATAAATAAGGTTGAAAAAACTTTTTTAGCTGAATTTGCTAAAGTTACTGTAGAGGATCATTTTGATTATTTTTCCATATATTTTTTCTTTTGTTTTTCTAACAATATATATTTTAAATATATTTTTTCTACAATTGAGCAGATTTAGTCAATTCAGTCATTTCAACTGGAACTTCATCATTTCAGTAGATTCAACCGATTAGCCAATTTCGATGTTACTGAATGAGCTTTAGGAGTCCTCTAGTAATACTGAAATTGGTTGAATGAGTTAAATCCGTTGAAATTTCTAAAATTCTAGCTCACTAGATTAGCTGAATCTCCTAAATTATGGAAATATTTAAAATGGTTCTTGTTGGGTTAATGGCCCAAACTGAGGTTCGGCCCATTTACCCCTTCATCCGGACGTACGTCCAGATAGGTCACTAGGCTAACCTGATAGGCTCACTTACCCGGTACGGACGAACGTCTGAAGAAGAGCCCCAGGCTCAGGGGCCCATCCGACGAACGTCTATGCCATCGACAAGGAGCAGGCCCACAGGCCATCAGAATGACGACGGACGTCGTCGGAGCAAGCCCATAGCCGTTGGAGGCAATCCAGTCCACATGGCGAAAATCACCAAGGGCCAGGGGACGAACGGCCCAATACCCTTTGCAAGCCACCAGGAGCAACTCACCCCCTGGCCGGACGAACGTCCCCACTAGTTAGGCGGGAAACCTAGATTCTGGCGGGAAGTGCATTTAATGCTGAAGATTTGGTGGTTGGGACACCAGTCACCCACAGTCCTCCACGTCAGCATAGACAACTACCTATTGGTGGTATAAATAGAAGCATTTATTTTATTGTAAAGGGTTATCAACTTTCTATTCTTAGCACTCTAGCTACAGCATTCTTACTCGCAGCACCTCTACTGCCTTGTAAGACTTTATTTCACCCCTAAACATAACTTTTGGGTCATTTTTGCCCCTTTTCCCTAAATAAGGATCATCCTCTAACATTCTGCTAATACCTCTGTATTAAGTTTATGACAAAACCCAATCAGTGTTAAAATCTTGAACGGTTGAACCCAATCGGTTTTCTTGTAGCTGTACCGATTCAAAGCACCCCCGGCCTCCACAATCAGATCATCCTCTTCCTCGGACGTTGCTTCCCATCGGCAAAGCAATCTCGCCGCACTAAGAACCCTACGCGAATAAGTCTCGCGCGTCACTGTTCAAGAAAAAGTTGAATTAGTTCAAGATTCAATCGCTGCTCGTCTAAAAAAATAAAGCAGCCAGCGACTTCTAACCCCTTCAGGCGACGTACCCATCTTACTTTGAACGATTTGAGGTAATCGTATTTTCATATATATTTTTTATTGATTTTAAGATCAATATTTTCATGTGCTGTTCTTAAATTACGTGAACTGCAGATAGAGTTTGATTAAATTTGTGATAGAAAATATAAATTATATACTCCATACATGTACATTACAAATGAAAAGAGGCCAATTTATCTATTAACGGTCAAAAATAAAACCCAGCTCCTCCCAATATATACTTTTAGACAATGGTTTTTGATGTGATCATAATCACTAAAGTTATTCCCTCAATCCCATTTTATAAGATACCTTTTCTATTCACTTGGTCAACACAAATCACTTAATCTCTTACTTTATATATATATATCAAAATTTTATGAAATTTGAATTATTTTTTGCAGGTTTTGTAGCAATTTTAATGTAGTTTCTGAATGTGTAAATTTTATTTTCTAAAACTAATTTGAGTGTTCACAGGGATCAATTTTCTTTGTGTTCGGTCAAACATCGTAAACCGTAAAGTGCCTTATAATTCCGGACGGAGGGAGTAATACGGAGTATGTATTATCCAATGTTCTAAAAGGCGCTAGGCGCTAGTCGGGCGGCCAAGCACCGCCTAGGCGGACTAGGGCCGATTAGTCGCCGACTAGGCGGACTAGGCGCCAATTAGTCGCCGACTAGGCGACCAACTCGGTTTCAACATGATACTAAAAAAATATAAATATTTTTGGCAAAAAGTATTATATTAAACAAATAATCTATAAATACAAATGAGATATGCAAAACAGTTGTAATTGATCAATGGAAATTTATAATCAATAATCAATAAGAAATAAAAACCTTTAACTATTTAACGATTAATGGACAGAACTTCATCCCTCTTAGAGAACTCATATAAATAATTAGATTTAGTGTCACAGATCAATTCAAACTGAAGAAGTCATAGACCAGATGCAGGACCAGATGCAGGACCAGCAGAAGAGTAGACTGAATGAATGCATATATTGTAGTTCATGCTTACAGTGAGTCATAAACCCGTACAACGTGAAGAGATCGATGATATGCTTGATAGCCAAATGAATTGAAAGATTCGTGTTTAGTTAGGGAAGGGTTTATTTCATTTTTGGAATGAAAGCGAGAGCAATCTACTTTCATCCAAATGCATGAAAAAGTTACATATGCACATAAAAGTAAAAACTACGTAGTATAATCCAAGGGTTCGGGACTATGCAATTCTCTTCCACCCCATTAGTGGTGTTCATTCACTATTGGAAAAGAGTAAAGAGATGCTCTAGAAATAAAGATGAAGGAGATGGTTTTTTTGTTGATGATTTTCATTGATTTTTACTTCACGTTTGCTGGGTTTAATCTTAATCTCTTTTTCATAAATGTGTAGCTTCTGGAGATTTAATACATGGGTCTATTGACAAGGTCACATATGAGATTAGTTCCTTTAAGATTTTTCTTTATTTCCGTTAATCTCTTCACTTAATATATACAAGATTGATCCTAAGCTTCCTGCTTCCCACTGATCAAAGTCCCTGCCTATCTTACGTTCTCGTCTTTGATTGAAGTCTTGTATGCGTGCTGTTGACATTTTCCTTACTCCATTCATATAGTATAGTAAAATCAAAGAGCCCTTATATTGTCGCAGTTTATCTGCTTTATCGTAAAGCTTTCCATTGTTTTTTCATCTCTACTATTTTACAGCTCTATTTTAAAACCTTTCTTACATCTCCTTTAGTTCTCTACTTTGATGTGTTGATGAACTTTAGATAATATTTTACTCTTACATCTTTGGTATTATAGGGAACATCGTACATAGTTGTTCTGTTAGCCTAATATTGTTATGACCGACTCAAGGTCTGAAAGGAGTCGTGAAATGAGAGATGGGGAGAAAGAGGACAAGGATGTGTTGAAAGATCGGCTGCTCACTAGAGAAAGAAGGAAGGGAGACAGAGATGATCCAGAAAAGGAAAAGACAAAAGACAGGGTTCGAGAAAAAGATAATGACAGGGACAGGCACAAAGACAAAGAGAGAGATAGAGGAAGCGAGAAAGATCGTAGGCATCATGAAAAGGACAAAGATAAGGACAAGGAGAGGATGAAAGATAGAGAAAAAGACAAAAGCAGGGACAAAGACAAGGATAGAGATAGGGACAAGGAGAGGGTGAAGGATAGAGAAAGAGAAAAGGAGAAGGATAGAGAAAGAGAAAAGGAGAAGGATAGAGAGAAACAGAGAGAAAGGGAAAGCGGAAGGGATTATGATAGAGTGAGAAGTAAAGATGCAAATGAAAAAGAAAAAGGAAAACATAGAGCTAGGGATCATGAAAGGCAGAAGTCCAGAGACACAGATGGAAGCATTCGGAAACTACACGATGAGGATCATAATAGGAGGATGGATATGGGAAAAGATGAGGTGTCAAGGTTCAATGGTAAAGATGGTGATGATGGGGACTTCTCTGAACATGATAAGGCAGCCCTAGCTGATGATGATAATATCAAGATGTCTTTTATGAGGGATGGACCTGTTGGATCGCAATCTTCTGTTTCAGAACTGGAGGAGCGCATTTTGAAGTAAGTACTTAATTGTTTAAATTCCATTTTACGTTCTAAATAGGATTGACTATGCTTTGTTAGTATTTTAAAATTTAAATGATGCATGCGAGCTATATAAACCTTTTTGAAAAAGTAGAAGTCTTGTATATAATGTAGGAAAGAGCTGAACCATAAGACTTGTTTGGTAATGAGTCTGCACTGGTTGTGTGGACCCGTCTATCATTGCCTCATATCTGGTCCCATCCAGTAGTCCAATATGCCTAACAAGTATTTAAGGTCTGATATATGGCTATACGCCATAAGCATTATGCAACCTTGCATCTTATTTATGTATTATATGTATAAGAGGCTTTTCCTGTTGCTTTAAACCATGACCTCACGGCCACATGGCTACAATTTTTTCCCACTGGTCCAAGGTTCTTTATTCCATCTTTTTCGATAGAGCCGAAGACTCACTATTTTTTGGCTTGGGAAATATGATAAAATAAAGGAAAATGGCTCATTTAACTGTTTGCGCTATTTTGTTATGATGCAACAATCAGTATGCAATTTTCGACGCGATTTTCATCATGGGTCATCCGGAATCAGTCTTTCTGTGCTTTAGTACGGGGGTAAGACTGTGTACATCCAACCCCCCTTACCCCACCATTGGTGGGAGCCTTTGCGGCACGGGGGTAATGTTGTTGTTGGGCCAAGGTTCTTCTTCCGTTATATGGATACTCTCTGTTTCATTGTGTTTTGGCTTTGCCATAACGTTAAAGATGGTAGCTTCAGAGTATTCGCTTCCTCTCTCGTTTGATGGAAGTGGACATGATATATTCTGGAAAGACAACAGTAGCTTTTGTTTTTTAATGAATAAACTTGCAATTGCTTACTGGATATGAAAATATTTGTTTTGAAGTACTCCCTCCGTCCTAAAATGATGGTCCCTTATTTCCTTTTTGGGATGTCCCAAAATGATGGTCATGTTTCCCTTTTTGGAAAGAAAGATGTGGTCCACATCATTTCACCTTTTTCTACTCAAATCTCAACCACAACTTTTACTTTTTCAACCACTTTATTAAAATTTGTGCCCAAAAGAAATGAGACAATCAAATTGGGACGGAGGGAGTATCGGTAAATAAAGTAGCTTTAATTCTCATTAATGCTTGGTTGACCCTAGGATGAAGGAAGAGAGGCTGAAGAAAAAATCAGATGGTGCCTCTGAGATTTTAGGATGGGTTAATAAGAGTCGCAAGATCGAGGAGAAAAAGAAGGCTGACAAGGCTAAAGCCTTGCAGCTCTTTAAGATGTTTGAAGAGCAGGTAAACGATTTTTGTTTTCAAATATTGTTCCTCTATTCCATATATTGATTGACAAAACCCCCCACTCCCACTGCTCCACACCCTCTGATCTAAGAAAAAACGAACAGATTCCTTTTACCAGGATCCTAATTATTATTTGCATTGCCAATTTGCTGCATTACTGCTTCAGGATAAAATTGATCAAGACGACGACGACGTTGAAGAAACAAACCATCGATCTGCTGGTATAGCTCTTTCTCCCTCTTTGGTGAATAGTGGCTCACTGTATCCATGAAAGTTTTGCAGTTTAATCAAATGCATAATTTACTGTGTGCTAATTACTTGATTTTCAATTTAGGAGGATAAATGAAATGGTTTGATGATTTATTGGGTACTATTGTAGTCTTGCCTTCAAGACTTCAACGATCAATACTCAATAGTTTAAACTTTTTCCCTGTTCCATGTTTTTTTTTAAATACAGAAGCCTATTTGGTCTCAGAGAGATGAAATGAAGTTCTTAACTTTCAATGAAGAGTGTTGTGAATGGTTTTATACTGCTTTGTACATGAAAACTTGCCCTTTTTCTTGCATTATTCTGCTGAAATTTGATTGAATTAGTCTGATTTTCCATTGAACACATTTTAACAGATGAGCTGGGCGGGGCAAAGGTTCTCCATGGGCTTGACAAAGTGCTTGCAGGGGGTTCAGTTATCTTAACACTCAAAGATCAGAGCATACTTTCTGGTGATGACATAAATCAAGGTACATAGTCAAGGCCTCTTATTTATACATCCCCACCTTCTTGCATATATCTTAGGGTCTTCATCTTTTTGGGATTTGTGAAATCAGATTCTGAGGTATAAATGTATATCTCAGAGGTTGATATGCTTGAAAATGTCGAAATTGGAGAGCAGAAGCGGAGGGATGATGCATATAAGGCTGGAAAGAAGAAAACAGGAATATATGATCAGATGTAAGTTTTAAGGAATCACTGATAGAACACGGTGTTCATATTGCTGATGACACTAAACATTTTCTGCTCTCTAATTTGTGTAGTGATGAGCCTGGTTCTGAAAAGAATATGCTTCCCCAATATGACGATCCGATGGAGGAGGAGGTTAATTTCTTTTCCAATTTATTAATGCTAATTGAGTTGCTGTATTATACTGTTATACCAGTATTGTCTTTTTTACTTGGATTATTCTTAATTTTAGAGCGTGGCTCTTGATGAGACTGGACGTTTCAGTGGTGATGCAGCAAAGAAACTGGAAGAGGTAATCAGTTTCTTGTTCATTTTACATTGTAGATGATCTTATGTACTTAACATGGAGTGTCATTGTTGGTTGATATAAACTCTCACTTTTTTTAATGACCAGCTCCGGAGAAGAATTCAGGGGGTTACCACAAAAAGCTATGCTGAAGATCTCAATTCTTCTAGCAGAGTATTGACAGATTATTATACTCATGAAGAAATGCTTCAATTTAAGAAGCCCAAGAAAAAGAAATCACTAAGAAAGAAAGAGAAGCTGGACATAAATGCCCTTGAAGCAGAGGCTATTTCTACTGGATTGGGTTCCGCGGATCTTGGTTCTCGGAATGACAAGACAAGGCAACACCTGAAGGAGGAGGATGAGAGAGCAGAGGCTGAGAAGCGAGACAAGGCATACAAGTTTGCATATGAAAAGGCTCAAGAAGCATCTAAAGCACTTCGACCTGAGTACAATCTTACTTCTAAGGAAGAGGAAGATGATGATATTGTGTTTGATGATGACGATGATGAGGAGCTTAGAAAATCATTGGAAAGGGCAAGAAAATTAGCTCTGAGAACTCAAGAGGAGGTTGTTAAATCTGTACCAGAGACCATTGCTTTGCTTGCTTCCACTTTGAATGAAAACAATTCTACTGTAGATAATAATAACCATGACTCTGGGGACTTGCAAGAGAATAAGGTTGTCTTCACAGAAATGGAAGAGTTTGTTTGGGGCCTTCAGCTTGATGAAGGTAGTTGATTTTAATATGGTTATGTTTAGTAGCCTTTAATACTTGAGGACTTGATGTGTCGTAGTGGTTTGCTGATCAGTTTTATCTTCTATTTCTTAAATCCCTGGCAAGATGGTAGGCTTTCCTTGCCTTCCTATTTTTCTTAGAAATTGACCCTGCTCTAAAACTATCATGCATCTTTTTACCATCCCCAACCCTACTGTCTAGTCCACTGTGAGCCTAGTTTTTGTTCAATAGATGTTGAGGTGATCTCATCTCTTTTACAGGCCCTGAAAACCAAATCAGCATATGAGTCTTCATAATTATAGCAGTATTTATAGTCGTTTCCTTCTATTATTAATATTATTAGTTGTAGTATTAGTAATAAATAGTTACCTATTAGTATTAGTATTAGTATTCCATTTTAGTTAATATTTGTTATAGTAAAATTCTTACTCCCCCTTCCCATAGTTTTATTCCCATTTTCATTTTTAGGAGGCTGCACAATTCTTTTCACATTTATTTTTATGGAAAAATTTATGTGGCTGTTTTTTATCCTCGGCCACAACTGTAAAATTTTACTTTGGAGCGTGTCAAGTCAAAATGGAAAGAAAGTTTTGGGATAGAGGAAGCAATAAACTTGAACCTATCTACTTTTTATCAATAACATTGTGAAATATTGTTTTAATTCATAAAAAATAAGATTATTAATTGCAAGCTTAATTGCATAGACTTTGACAAGGCCGAGCCTCTCTATGGTTTCTGATTTCCTGTAAGCTCGGTCAAGGTCCCAAGGATGAGTGCTCTATATCCCAACACGGCTGATAACAATCTCTCTTTCTTATCATGAGTGAAATTAGGTTGGAAAGGTTTAGTGTGAGAAATATTTTTGTTTCTTATGCCTCCTGCTAGATTGCGGGTTTCTAGATGAAAAATCTTTAATTAATACAATTTCATGCGAACATAGAGATGCAGCTTTAGAGTACGCCTGGATCATGGAAATGTTAGGAAAAAAAGAAGAAGATTGTAGAGGAAAGTAATTTTCCTATTTTTGGCATAGCCTTGGAAGATGCATACGAAATTGAAATATGATTAATGTTCTAATTTCTTTTACATATTCAGGTATCACTATCTTTATATAATAAAACAAATAAATGAAAACGGTTTGAACAAATATTATCCTTCCTGAGTATCTCTATTTTTCTATCCCTACAGTTTTCTGCAATCCAATTGAGCCCTAGTCTCTCCATGTACCATCATGTGTACTGGTTTCCATACAGTATGCTGCATCTAATTTTACCCACTTTTCTTCTTATATTGTTGTACTGTTTGTAGATATTCTTGTACTCTGTTATCTAATTTAACTTTATTGTTGAAGATTCAAATAAACCGGGTGATGAGGATGTTTTCATGGAAGAAGATGTTATACCCAATTCTCCGGATAAAGCATCTATAGATGAGGACGGTGGCTGGTCTGAGGTGAAAGAAGTCACGGAAAAAGAAACGGACTTACAGAAAGAGGATGAGGAGAAGACAGTTCCAGATGACACAATACATGAAGCTGCTGTCGGGAAGGGGTTATCTGGAGCTCTCAAACTCCTGAAAGATCGAGGATCACTCAAGGAAACAATCGAATGGGGTGGTCGAAACATGGACAAGAAGAAAAGTAAGCTTGCCGGTATTATTGATGAGGAGGGGCCTAAAGAAATACACATTGAAAGGACCGATGAATATGGTCGAATTGTAAGTTCTGTTGCTCAACCAGTTCTTTTTAATACTTTTGCATAGTTCAATTAGCAGGTAGTTAATCTTCAATTCTATTCATTCATTCATTTATTTATTTATTTATTTATTTATTTATTTATTTATTTATTTATTTATTTATTTATTTATTTATTTATTTATTTATTTATTTATTTATTTATTTATTTATTTATTTATTTATTTATTTATTTATTTATTTATTTATTTATTTATTTATTTATTTATTTATTTATTTATTTATTTATTTATTTATTTATTTATTTATTTATTTATTTATTTATTTATTTATTTATTCGTTCGTTCGTTCGTTCGCTCGCTCGTTCGTTCGCTCGCTCGCTCACTCACTTTACTTACCTACCCTACCTTACCTTACCTTACCTACTTACTTACTCCTCTAGCTTGTCCCATAGTGTTCCCACTTCTTTTTTGGTTGTCCCAAAATGTTTTTCCCATTTTCCTTTAAAATTAAAAGTAAGAATTGTGGTTCATATTGTTTATTTCATATCTAAATGAATCTCAACATCATTTCACATTCTTAATTGTGTGAGACATAAGAATTATCAATTAGTTTAACAATTTATCTATTTTATATTCATCTAATAATATTTTGGTGGATTTGTTACTAGTTGACTCCAAAAGAGGCATTTCGACAGCTGTCCCATAAATTTCATGGAAAGGGACCCGGCAAATCAAAACAAGAAAAACGCATGCGACAATATCAAGAGGAGCTAAAGATTAAACAAATGAAAAATTCAGACACACCATCGCAGTCGGTGGAGAGAATGAGGGAAGCTCAAGAAAAGCTAAAGACACCTTATTTGGTCCTAAGTGGAAATGTTAAACCCGGGTATGTTTTCTCCTCCCACCTATAATCTAGTAGTTACGTTATACTTTGTCTGTTTGATATTTGGGACTTTAGAAGTGTGATCAAGCGATTGGGGTAATTGAGCCCAAAAAAGCATGAAACTCGACTTGGCACGAATTCCAAATTCTTCAAGCTCGGGTTAATTAAGCCCAACTTTTTAATATTTTTCATTTACTCTAATATACACAAATTAATAATAAACATTAATTTTTTAACCACCCATGTTTCAATTTATATTCAAAAAGGTATATTTTGTGTATATATATAATTTATACGTAGTATAATTTAGGGAAAAGGGTCAAATAGGCCCTTGAACTTACATAAAAAGTTCAAATCACCCCTTTTATATGAGGTTCTGTCCGGCGGTCGCCGTTTGGGGCGGTTTCCGGTGGAATTTTTTGATATTTTTTTTGAGCATCTTAATCATTAAGTTATTTATACCAAATTTCAGCTAAAACTTCAATCAGGAAGGTAGTCAAATGAATTTTTGAAGATAATTGCGTTGTTAACGCAATATATTTCAGAAAATTATTTGACTGCCTTACCGGTTGAATTTTTAGCAGAAATTTGGTATGGGTAAACTAGACTTAATGAAGATGCTAAAAAAAATTCCACCGGGAACCGCCCTAAATGGCGACGGCCGGACAAAACCTCATATAAAAGAGGTGATTTGAACTTTTTATGTAAGTTTGAGGGCCTATCTGACCCTTTTCCCTATAATTTATATTAGTATAGTTCAAAAGCATAACTAGGCCCATTAGCTGAACAGAAGAGCACTTAGTTCGGCTTGGACGTGGTACCCAAGCTCGGTCTACAAAATAGAAATGGAATGCGAGTACTAACAACTTGATGTCAGATAGTCCACTAGTAGTTTTGCTCAGCTCAGACTCCTGTTCATGCATGGCATACAAGCTTATTCAAGCCAAGCGAGCTGGATAAATACTATCCTCCGTTCTCTTTTAATCGCAACATTGAACTTTTTGCACTATTCACATATTCTACTTTGACTATATTTTATTCATTTGTATTATAAATAAATTTTTTAAAAAATATTATTAAATTCTTCTCATTCTAAATTTTCAAAATATGAATTTTTTGCTAATAAGGAATGAAAGATATTAATGGTCAAACTTGTGCGTTGGCAAACGTGAAATGTTGACTGTTGCAATTAAAAGGAAACAGAGGAAGTATGAATTATTAAGTGGCACCCTTGACTTTATCGAGAAATCAGTTGTGTTTGGACTTTGGATAAATGTAACATATTCACTACCAAAATATAAGTTTATTGAAATAATCAATTTTAGTGAGAATGAGTTAGCTGATGAGCTAACAAAGCTGAACACTATCAATCTTAAGCTTTGGTTTTGTTTTAACCTCATATAAAAGTGGTGATTTGAACTTTTTATGTAAGTTTGAGGGCCTATCTGACCCCTTTCCCTATAATTTATATTAGTATAGTTCAAAAGCATAACTAGGCCCATAAGCTGAACAGAAGAGCGCTTAGTTCGGCTTGGACGTGGTACCCAAGCTAGGTCTACAAAATAGAAATGGAATGCGAGTACTAACAACTTGATGTCTTTGGATAAATGTAACATATTCACTACCAAAATATAAGTTTATTGAAATAATCAATTTTAGTGAGAATGAGTTAGCTGATGAGCTAACAAAGCTGAACACTATCAATCTTAAGCTTTGGTTTTGTTTTAACCTGTCTCCTAAAATGATCTCAAATAATATTTTATTGAGCCTCTGCTCTGGATAGTTGAATGACTGGTGTAGTTAATTTTTAGGGAAAATGGAAACTAATAATCCAACCTTTTAGCGGTCTTCTTACAATAGTCTCACCTTTTGATTATTCATGAATAATCCAACCTTTGCACCTCATCTTCATTCACTGGTCCCTGACCGGTTGATGACCTGCTATTCCAAGTTATTTTCTTATCTTTGCAAAATATTTTCTTTGTGAAAGGTGAGATTTATGGTATAATAGTTTGCAAAGATAAGAAAATAACTTGGAATAGTAGATCATCAATCGGTCAGGGACCAGTGAATGAAGATGAGGTGCAAAGGTTGGATTATTCATGAATAATCAAAAGGTGGGACTATTGTAAGAAGACCGCTAAAAGGTTGGATTATTAGTTTCCATTTTCCCTAATTTTTATTATAATTGTGTATGTTTATAAGTTTATTAATAAAATACGATTCTGTATCTCTCTTTTTATCCTAAATGAATATATTATGGTTTTTATTTGCTTCCAGGCAAACTAGTGATCCCAGAAGTGGTTTTGCAACTGTTGAGAAGGACTTTCCTGGAAGTTTAACACCCATGCTTGGTGATAAAAAGGTAATTCTGAATTGGCCCTGTTTGTGCAATTCTCTACTAACAAGTTGTTTGTGATTCGTGTAAAACAGTTTACCCGTGGTCATTATTCAGTTTGGGTTTACCCGTGTTCATAAAGAGGAAACCTGAGTTATAGTTTTTGTTGTTTAACAATACAGGTTGAACACTTTTTGGGCATAAAGAGGAAACCTGAGCTGGGCGGGGACTCTGCCTTACAAAAGAAACCCAGAAACTGATTGGCCAGTGTTTGTAATGTACTCCGTTTTAAAGGTTGGTTAGAAGCAACTGGTGCTAAACTCTACATTCTCAAGTTTAAATTCGTCCTCAATCTTGTCTCTAAGCTCAATTTTAGATTTTGTATGTGTTGGATGAGTTTCACTTACCTTGCTTTGAATATGTAGGAGTACGCTTTGGTCTTTCATTTTCTATACTTTTGCATTTGCAAAGTATACCTTTGAAGTCTTTGCTAACCAATATCTGCTGACCAGTAGCCACTTCATTTTTATGTTTTATGTTCTCTGAGTGACTTATTTTATCAATTTGGTTCTACTTATAGTAATTCCTTGAAATAATAAAAATTAAACGGTCATGCTCATAATTTAAAACATGTGAGGTAAGTTCCGACTCTGAGTTTTATTTGATATATAGTAATTTAAATGTTACCTTAATTGAGTTAAAAGTATTTCCAATCTTGCATCATTGTAGGCCAAAATTGTAATGTTTTCTGCAATGAATGATACTCTCTAGCTCTGGGTTTTAGTTGTTGAAGGTCACCGATTACCAAGGCTCCGTTGTAAAATTTATGGATGCTTAAACCCTAAACCCATAAGATATGCATGCAAAACATATGAGTTGCCCCTACCACTAACCTAATAATAAGTAACAAATTAGTGATTCATAAGCTGTACCCATAATTTGTTCAACCATGCGAACAGTCCTTAAACCAGATAAACTCATCCACCTTAATCCTAAATTCATCCAACACTAGGTTTATAGATATATATACATGCCAAGAAAATAAACTGCTCCACTGGATAGCCCCACCTTTATCAGGAATATACAACAAGAAATTAACAAGTATGAAAGCAGCAGCATTGATCTTCTCTGTTGTGTTCCTCCATTCACTTGAGGCCATAACAGAGAGCCATTGGAGTAGAAAGCCGGTCAGCGCGGTTTGTGCATCCCAGATCACTCTGGTCAACCATGCATGTTCTTTTCTTATCATCAACCCGAGCCCTCCGCCCGGTTCTGTTGGGGGGCAACACCACCACCACCGCAGGACACATCACGGCCACCACCACCATTCCCCGGAGGAAGAGATTTGCTGCAGATGGTTGAAGGAGGTGGATGACCAGTGCGTTTGTGACATGCTAGTCAGTTTGCCTCCTTTTCTCGCTAGGCCTCTGCACCAGTTCACTGTCCAGGTCGGCGATTCTTGCTTCCAGACCTACCGGTGCGGTACTCCCATGATCAGGATGGATTAATTATACGGAGTAGTATACTTCGTATATAATAAATTGAAGTTAATGAAATTAAGTTATTGAAATTTGTATACTTGCATGCATACGTGCTTGCATGTGTCTGGAACCGATCATTATGTACGTATAGTAGTGTGATGGGAAAAGCAAAGAAAATTTGAAGGTTATCTTAGTGGTTTCCAGTTTACTAAATACTTGGATGGTTTGAATATTGGATACGAATGTAACAGAGTTACCATGGTAATACACACATTTTAATTTGTCTTACTATATACGGAGTAGTAGAGTAGTAGAAAAGTGAGACGAGTCTTGATTTTTTTTCACGGATTTTCAACGGCTATATTTTGTAATTGAATTTTCTGTGTCAAATGCAAAAGCCAAAATTCTTAGTTTTGTAGCGGAAATATTCCATTACAGAAACAAATGTATACTTCGAAACAGATTCTTTCCCGCACCAAAATATTTACCAATTTTCTGATGTAAGAGTGATCGAGTGATGCACTTGATAGATCTCAAATTCGTGTACGTACTTTGTCACAAATTTGGTGCAGGAATTTCGTGCCCAAAGTCTGATGAATGTGACAACATTTCCAACCGCCTAAAGGATTCGCATTTGGTCTTTGTCATAAATATGGACCGAATTAACTTTTGTGACAAAAACTTTCATGTCCAAAGCTGTTTTGCGCGATATATGCCATTTACAAAACAAGCTGATTGCTTTAAGTTGGTCAACGAGAAATATATATCCCCATAATAAATTTATTTTAAGAAGAAAATTATAAAAATAGGGTCCATATGGGAAGGATTTCTCTGCTATATACTTTGTTGGATGTTAGAACTTTGTTCATGTTTCACTGATATTTTGAGAATTTGAGCACTTTCTTTAAATTAAATAGATTTGCCTTGTGCCACTTTAAATTCATTTTAAAAGTTGTATTCTTTGTTCGGAAAATATAAAAGTTCAGATCTAATGTCAAAAAAATGGGAAAAATAATTAAAATATCTCAAACTTTGAAGGGGTGTGAGATGACCATCCCAAACTTGCATATGTATTTTAAATAACTCAAACTTTATATAAAAAATTATTGACACCATAGTCAAGTAGTCAAGTTTTATTTCTTTCAAAAATGTTAATTGATGGTGTTAATTTCATAATTTAAAATATGTTAGAATTCATGAAGACACAATTAACATTATATACTTTCATGGTAATGTTAAACCTAATCTATATAATTGCAACATTTTAATTTGCTATTTTACTTATGCAATTAACACCATAAGCTTACATTTTTGAAAGAATAATACATGACGACAATGGTGCGAAAATATTTTTATATAAAAGTTTGGGGTATTTAAATTACATACGCAAATTTGGGGCGTTTACTTCACACCCCATCAAAGTTTGAGGTATTTTTATTATTTTTTCCCAAAAATATATACCCATGCAAGATACCACTATATCACTTAGTACATTTATTTGTTCACACATGCGATTAACAAACATGATCAACCAGGTAATTACCACTAATTAAGCTAGTGGATTCCATATATACAATTCATATAGCTTGCCATTATTGGGTGCAGTTTCAATACTAAGCAAGCACATTGAAGCTTGAACTTTGCTTTATTTCTTGATCCAAAAGGTGAAATCTCCCACCCACGGAACCCCCACGCCCTGACCCGTCAGGGCACATGGGGGGATGTAAATCACAGTGACTTAGTTGGCGGAGCAGCAGTAGGCCCATATGGCCGTGCGCGTCAAAGTTTTAACCCATTTCAGAGGCTGTGGCCTCCACACAGTTGCTGCGGGGGACTCGAACCTGGATTACTTGATCCAATTTCTCACTATTTTTGTCTCCATTTTGGAGTGCATTGTATCCGCAGTAAGTTGACATAGCTTAATTATTATCTCCATATACCATTAAATCACAATATTCTTACTTGAATTCAACACATTCAAAAATTGTGTGCTGATAACAACTGTGTTGCGGTTTTTGATAAAAACTCTTTTTTTGTCAAGGACAAAATTTCGGGGGCAGTTCTTCTTCAGGTGCGTCATAATGGCCATCTATATCCTGTCAGCTTCAGTCCTCCAGCACCTCTAGCCTTAGTTTTCGTTATTGTTTCTGGCCCTGTGTGGCACCGTAGATTAGGACATTGTGGCGAAACTGTTTTACGCCAATTGCGTACTAGCAAACTTATTACTAGTTCTTCAAATTTTGAACATGATTGTGTTTCTTGCCGTTTGGGTAAATCTCAACGATTACCTTTTTCAAATGCTAGTCATAATTCTTCTTCACCGTTACAGTTAATTCATTCTGATGTGTGGCAATCTCCGGTGTTGTCTAACTTAGAATTTAGATATTATGTGTGTTTTATTGATGATTTTTCTCATTTTACCTGGATTTATCCATTGTGTACGAAAAATTAAGTGTTTACTCAGTTTCGGTGTTTTAAGGCCTTAGTTGAAAATCTATTTAATGCTAAGATTAAAGTTTTTCAAAGCGATGGAGGGGTGAGTTTGTTAATTTTAATATGCAACAATTTTTGGCAGAACATGGAATTTATTTTCAGAAATTGTGCCCCTATACTCCCCAACAAAATGGGATTGCTGAGCGAAAACATCGTCATCTTCTCGAACTTGCTCGGACGACTGTGCTTATAACAGCATCTATTCCTAGCAATTTTTGGGTTGATGTTATTTTTACAACTGTATATATTATTAACAGACTTCCCTCCCCCATTCTCTTTGGTGTTTCCCCATATGAAAAACTTTTTCAGAAGTCTCCTGATTATAGTTTATTCCGTGCTTTTGGGTGTGCTTGTTATCCAAATTTTTTAGCTTCTTCCTCCAATAAACTTTCTCCTTGTTCCATCCAGTGTGTGTTTCTTTGCTATGCATCTGGTTTTAAAGGTTATCGTTGTTTTGAGCCCAAGTCTGGCAAAGTTTTTATTAGCCGACATGTTCGTTTTCACAAAAATATTTTTCCATATGCCACTTTGTCTTCCTCTACGCGTCATGAATCTTCGTCCTCACCTAGTGTTCCTGATGATTTCACTCTCATCAATACCACTTCAGACCGTAGCTCACCTGCCATATTTCCTAGTTCTACCCATAGGATTTTCTCTCCTACACCTACTCGGCCTTCCAACATACACATTCCAGTAGATACAACTACCACTAGCTTTCCAAACCAGCCTATCACACCTCAATCATCCAACCACACACCACCAGTTCTACCCCATGACCACGATCAGACTTCCTCTCCTATTCTTCCCCACGGCCATATTCCGACCCCGTCCCCTGTTCGACCGAGCCCTCCTGTCTGAAGTTCCTGCCACCCAACCTGGTTCTAGCCTGGAGCTGCAGCAGTCCTCGGCTAGTGCACCAGACTTGTCTAGTGCTACGGCCAGCTTACAAATAATCACCCAATCCAAACTCGGGCTAAATCAGGAATTTTTAAACCCAAAACTATTTTTAATCTCAACACTGTTGCTTTATCAGCTGATCCTACTTCTTTTTCTGAATCAAATAAACAGCTAAAATGGCATGAGGCAATGGCGGAGGAATTTAATGCCCTTATTTTTAATAATACTTGGGATTTAGTTCCGTTTGATAATACTAAAAATGTTGTGGGCTCTAAGTGGATTTATAAGACTAAATATAATTCTGATGGGTCTATTGAGCGTCACAAGGCTCGTTTGGTTGCTCAGGGGTTTAATCAACAGGCAGGTGTAGACTTTTCTGAAACTTTTAGTCCAGTTATTAAACCCTCCACGGTTGGTATTATTCTTACACTTGCTATTTCTTTTGGGTGGGTTATTCGTCAATTGGATGTTAAAAATGCATTTTTACATGGTCATCTGACTGAGGAGGTCTATATGCATCAACCGCGGGGTTTTATTCATCCTTTGTTTACTCATCATTTATGTCGTTTGTGAAAAGCTATTTATGGCCTTAAGCAAGCCCCGCGGGCATGGTTTCATAGATTTAGTAGCTTTCTCTTATCTCATCATTTTACGTGCAGCAAGTCTAATAATTCGTTATTTATTTTTCGCCAGAATAATAATGTCATTTATCTATTACTATATGTTGATGACATCATTATTACTGGTAATTCTTCCGCTGTTGTGACCTCTTTTATTCAGCTTGTTGTTCAACATTTTGCTATGAAAGATCAAGGAGATCTTCATTATTTTTTGGGAGTCCAGGCTGTCCAAACTCGTAATGGTTTGTTTCTCTCTCGATCAACATAAATATGTGTCTGATCTTCTGTCTCGTTTTCATCTTCATACCCTAAAGTCTGTTCGTACTCCACTTGCTTCCCGCACTTCTCTATCCCTCACTGATGGTGAACTCCTTGCTGATGCAACTGAGTATCGTAGTATGGTTGGTGCGTTACAATATTTAACTTTGACATGACCTGATATTATCTATGTTGTGCATTTAGTGTCTCAGTTTATGCATGCTCCTCGTACCACTCATTTGTTTGTTGTCAAAAGGATTTTTAGATACTTGCAGGGAACTCTTGATCATGAATTATGGCTTCATCCCACATCTCGGGCTACTTGTGTTATTGCTTACTCCGATGCTGATTGGGCTGGCTGTCCAGATACATCTAGGTCCACGACTGGTTTTGCTGTGTTCTTGGGTCCGAATTTAATCTCATGGAAGTTTAAGAAGCAACCTACTGTCTCCAAATCTTCTACGGAAGCTGAGTATATGGCAGTTGCCTATACTGTTCAGCACACTCTTCATATTCGTTCGGTACTATAAGAGCTCAGTTTTCCTGTTTCTACACCAGTTCAGGTTTTTTGTGATAATAAATCTGCTTCCTATTTGACGGCTAATCCAGTTCAGCATGCCCGTAGCAAGCACATTCAGATAGACTACCACTTTGTTCGGGAGCGTGTAGCGCAGCTCATGGAGATTTGGTTGTGAAGTATGTTCCTACTCAGCTGCAGTTAGCTGACATTTTTACTAAAAGTCTTTCTAGTCAGCAATTTCATTTTTTAAAAGACAATCTGCGCGTTGTTTCTCCCGCACAATTTGAGGGGATGTAATAGAATATTACAGGGCGTAATCAGAAAAGTGAATTTGTATGGTCGATAAACTCACTTAAGTGAGTTTTCCTATTTGCTTTAGTTCGTCAAACTTTTGTATTAGGTTAACTGTTTGTGTTACGACAATCTTGAATACTGCTATTTTATGGCATGTTTTGAAATTGAGTTGTATATTGTATAATTTGTCGGTGGTGACTTTTTAGAATGTTAAAATAAGGATCATTGAACTGCAAATAACAAGAAAAGAAATGAACTTAGTGACACTAATAGTGTAGCCGAATGTGTCATAAAAATCCGTTGGAAACCTTCTGGTTTATTTATTCTTATAAAAGTTCCAACCGATTAATCGGTTGGAAATCCGTCAGCTGTTGGTAATAATGGAATCACACTTCCGACACTTTTATCGTTTAGAATCTTCTGACAAATATATTCGTTGGAAATCCGGTGGAATTTTTTTGAATCGGTTTGAAATGGTCGTTGGAAATATTTCCAACCAGTGTATTCCAACGGCCAAATTGTGTCGGTATTTCGTTGGAAATATCGTTTCGAACGACTATTTCATTCAAATTTGTTGCAAAGTTGGTCGGTGTTAATTTTTGTAGTGGCATGTGTTGGCAAAAAGAAGTATTATAAGTAACAGAGAACAAAAGAAGTGTACATTTTTAGCTCTGGTACTAATTAGACATAGAGAATTTACTTTTGAATTTGGTACTAAGTGACTAAGTTATGACTTAACTTAGACATATTAGATTAGTCATATGAACTTTTTACACTTTAAGGAAAAATTGCACCTTGTACTTATTTTTCTTGGGAGACCTAACATGTCTGATATTAATTTTTTAAATCTAATCTAAACTTTTTTGTCACACCTGAATTTTTTTAATTGACATGTGAACTTTTCTCATAAAGACAAATATACATTGATGGAAACTAATTATAAGCCCTTCCAAATTGATTCATTATATTTAGAACACAGAGATACAAAACACAATATGCATCCATCTAGTACTTGTCTAGCTATCTAGAGGGTTCAACCAACGAGGAACCCTACCTAGCAAGACATGTGTATATATAAGTATATAACACAACCTATGACTTAGATACATACTCCGTATGTTACAATACATAGCTTACACACACTTTTTAGCTTACAAAGATCACAAACAACACAACTGACACACATCTTTGAGGCAAGCTTAGCTTGAAAACAAGCTAGACATACTGGCCTAAAGAAATAATTACCAAATAAAATTGATAAACACGTGCAATCCTGCATGCATGTTTGTCCGGGCTCATTTTGGAAATGTAGGACCAGTTAATTAGGGCAGCACCGGTACATGAACAACTTCTCCATATAGCGACCGCAGTCAGCGCAGACCATAACGTCCGGGATCTCGCCAGCGACCCCGGGCAGGATGAGCTTATTGCAGTGCTGCGGGGTGTGGAGCTTGGAGAAATAGCTTGTGAGGGTCTCGATGAACCCATTCTCCTTCGCTTCAGGCTCCCACTCCGGGTACTTGTTGAGCGCGACGAGGAGGACCTCGCTCTTGGCTCGGGCCATTTGGAACGGGCCGCGGCTCATGAGAGCCCAGCCCTGGTCACTCCCATCGTACCCCATCAGTGTCATCACTTCTGACGCAATCTTGTCGGTTCCTTGCTTGTTGCCAAAATGAAGTTTGGAGTAGAGCATGCTGTGTATGCGAGTCCAGAAATGCCAGACAGAGTATGGGTCGGGCCAGCAGTTGCTTAGCCCTTCTGTCATTATTGTGTCAGTGATCTTCCTCACGCGCTCTTTGGAATTGCTCTTTCCCACGTACACCATGTATAGCTCAATCCCCGCTTGTTGTGCCACGCCATTCATCAGTTGGGTGAATCCTCTTATCCACTCTATGTTATCTCCTCCGTACAAACATACATACTTCTCCTGCTCCGCCTGCATATATACATCACATTCATTCTCATTTATCTTATTAGATTACATTCTTATTTAATCTTAGAAGGAACCAACAAGGAAGTAATTGGATGCATATAATATATAGAGCTCGTCTGGTAACCCTGTATTCGGCTCATGAGATTACTTTTGTTTTCGCGCTTTCAATCGTGTGATAATAATAATAAAGTAAGGTCGATATTACTTTTTCTAACTGAAATTATTGAAGACGGCTATTTGAATTATATTTTCATACTACGTGTAATTTTTTCTCGATTTTACTAATAATATATATTTTAAGTTGAATATATTATTTTCATAATTCAACTTTCCTTCAACCAAAATTTCATCAAGTTTATAGTATATTGAGAGGATTCATTCAATTTTAGTATTAGGAGTCATAATGTTCAGCAAGCTAACTTACCCAATCAACTGCAGTTTGATCAAGTCCATCAACAATAAGCTCAACCCTCCAAGTCTCAATGGACCACATGGATTCCTCTTTGGCAGTGGTGAATGGATATGCCAAGTTCCCCCAAATCCAGATCATGTGAAGGGCATTCTGACATGCAACTTTGCCTTGAATTGGATCAAGAGTCACCAGCACCATCTTCTTCATGAAACGCCATTTTTCCTTGACAAACTTGACCACTGCTGGCTCTACGAGGGAAGGGTGGTGCACAGTGTACCATGGCATCATAGCCTGAAGCTCCTTAAACTTTGCATCCATCTCCTTGTTCCACCCTCCATTCGTTCTCTCGAGTATCGGCAACCACACGATTTCGTACTGGAGCTCTGGTTTTGTCTTGGCTTCATTGTACATATCAGTTAGCGAACTCAATTCTTCTTGCGACACGTCTAGATCACTTAGTAAAAGCAATACCGTCTTCCTTCTCAACACTTCAATGCTTGCCTGTGTATCATAATACTTTTATTAGTTCATATTTTACTGGTGTGAGAAATATTTCAACAATTCTACATATAATGTCCATCATGCCAAAGTTTGGTATTCAAGTCACTTTAAAGATTAGATAACTAAAAATTGTTGCTTAGTACTCCCTTAGTCAAACCAAAAAACTGATTAAGGTAGAGTATTAATATTTATGGTAAGAAAGTGATCAAGTATACTTACCCTGGTGTGAGTAGTTCCAACCTCAAGAGGAAGTATGTCATCTTTGTTGTAGATCAAAGCTTTGAGGATCTTCATATTGTCGAAATGGCTTATCTCAAAGAGGTGCACAAGCATTTTGTAATATTCAATGTGCATTTTCTCATCTGCATCCAATTTCGATAGAAGTATATATGTATTACGAATAAGCAATAGTAAAGAGCCTGCAGCGGGCGATTCTTCTATCCCATCCCAATAATTTTGTTACAAATTAAAAATTCATGAAGAGAATTGATCATTTCATCAAATATATAGGACCATTGTTCTTACTTTCTTAAGGAAACTAACTTGTTTATTTACTCCTTATATGTAAAAGGGAATTGTAAACTATTTTAATAATTCAATACCATCCTCCTTTATCCTGTCTTGGGACACACGTGATATAAAATGAACGCAAAGCAATGTTACTTAAAACAAAGAAAATGACCTGAACTAATACTCATCCTATGAAACTTTGCTGCCCATCAATATTTTCTCATTTGGAACATGTAACCTGCTTTATCTATCACTGGTTGTATTAGATATAGGGATATGATATAATTGACATACGTACGTACGTACATACATACAATATAAGACTTATTTTTACTCTACAAAAAGAAAATTAGGGCAAATGAGTCATTCAAACCATATATGACCGGTGATAATACGGAGTAATGAATAAGTATTAAGTACTGCAATTTCCTTTCAAAAAAAAAGTAATACAATTTTTAATTTTCATAAAATAATGAAATAGATCAAAGGGTGGGTGGACTGACCAATATGTTGATGGCAAATGGCCAATTGTTCCTTAAGGTGGTCACTTATGTTAACCAGCTTGTGAGTCGTACTCGTGATTTCCCATGTCTCCATAGTTGTAGCTAGCAATCTCCTACGTATATATACAGATAAGATTACATGCTTTGCCATATTTTATAAATCTCAATTTCTATTAAATGTACATCTAAAGATAACGAGACATTATTACCCTATATAGGAGTACAAAACATTGTATATATGTAGTATATTTCAACATAGGATTATCATGTTTTTATTCTCTACATAAGAGTGAATAATAATATCACAGTGTTTTGTTTCAAAATTTTCAAACGTTTTTACTCGTATTTCAGGAATTTCTAAAAAAAAGTAGGGAGTACTATTTTTTAAGTGATCTACCCCAATTTCCAGCCCTAGCTAAGGCGGAAAAAAGTTATAAAAAATATCACTAAAATAAAACTTATATACATAAATACGACTAATAGTTATCACAATATTGTGTCATGGTAACTTAAGTTTAGAAATTGATCTGAACATAAGTTATGACTTCATTGCTATTCTAGTCACTAGTCACATTTTTGTAAACAATATTTATTTTATTCATAATAAAACAAATAGTATGTGGCGTACTCATAATTGATGCCAAGAAGGCTAGTGAGCTGAGCGGAGCAAGCGACAATACTCTTGATGGTCCAATACACCGCCGTGGGAATGTGAGTTTTGGCGACGGAGAGCGGCGGCTGGTCGTCGGAGATGTACAGCGGCGGCAACTTCTTGAAATCCATGATGCGCCTGGTGACGTCCATGACGGCCATGATGACGTTGTTGATGGCGTCGAAGCGGGACTTGAGCGCGGCCTCGTGCTCCACGATGTCCGGCACCTGTTTGAGGATGGAGACGGACTTGGCCAGGGGGTGGGTGGGGAAGAGCTGAGCCACCAGCCAGAACTCGCCGTAGGTGATGGCGAATGCGGCGAGGCATAACACCACCTTGGCGTCCCATTGGTAGTGGGAGAGCATGTTCAGTATCGCCATTGTTGCTGTGTTGTTGTCCCCTCCTCCCGAGCACCGGCATGACAACTGTGAAAAAATTCCCTAAATAGGACTTAAATATATAGATAAAGGGCGTAAATAGGATCATTAACTGCTAGTTTATGGGGAAAATT